CTGTGAGTGAGCGTCCCCCTGCACTCACTGCTATCTGCACTCTGTGAGTGAGCCCCCCTGCACTCACTGCTATCTGCACTCTGTGAGTGAGCGTCCCCCTGCACTCACTGCTATCTGCACTCTGTGAGTGAGCGTCCCCCTGCACTCGCTGCTATCTGCACTCTGTGAGTGAGCGTCCTCCTGCACTCGCTGCTATCTGCACTCTGTGAGTGAGCGTCCTCCTGCACTCGCTGCTATCTGCACTCTGTGAGTGAGCGTCCTCCTGCACTCGCTGCTATCTGCACTCTGTGAGTGAGCGTCCCCCTGCACTCGCTGCTATCTGCACTCTGTGAGTGAGCGTCCCCCTGCACTCGCTGCTATCTGCACTCTGTGAGTGAGCGTCCTCCTGCACTCGCTGCTATCTGCACTCTGTGAGTGAGCGTCCTCCTGCACTCGCTGCTATCTGCACTCTGTGAGTGAGCGTCCTCCTGCACTCGCTGCTATCTGCACTCTGTGAGTGAGCGTCCCCCTGCACTCGCTGCTATCTGCACTCTGTGAGTGAGCGTCCCCCTGCACTCGCTGCTATCTGCACTCTGTGAGTGAGCGTCCCCCTGCACTCGCTGCTATCTGCACTCTGTGAGTGAGCGTCCCCCTGCACTCGCTGCTATCTGCACTCTGTGAGTGAGCCCCCCTGCACTCACTGCTATGTGCACTCTGTGAGTGAGCGTCCCCCTGCACTCACTGCTATCTGCACTCTGTGAGTGAGCGTCCCCCTGCACTCACTGCTATCTGCACTCTGTGAGTGAGTGAGTGTACTCACTGCTTCCATTGGTGACATGGTGGACAAGAGGGATGTCATCTCAGCAGTGTGATGTTTCTAGATCTGCCAACATGGATTAAATTGTCCATAAATGGACAGCAATAAAACAATTATTACAATCAGGGACCGAGAAACAGGATTTCCAACATAATACCAGTCAGATCAGATTCAGGCCTGTTGGGCGGTATGTCTACCATGTGCTAAAGGAGGGATATCAACTTCTTCAAAGTTTCCCAAGTACTTGGCAAAGAGGGGTGAGCTTCCTGCCCCTCCATAACACGAGCACAATGCATTCATTTCTATTGGCTTTATTCCATTTATATATAAAGCACTACGGATTAGTATATGCAGCAAAGCTTAAATAAGGTTCCTGTGTTTCGCTTGTATTGTAGATCTCCACCCTCTGATAACACATGTATGTTCTTTCCATGTTACAGATCCTCTGCACACCCTGTCTAGTGAGAAAGATCATGTACATGCAACTTTCAGAACTCATATATCATATGAAAGGATGGTGAGTACATGGAATAGACCAAAAAAGGGGTAGGTGACTAATAGGAGTATTGGGGACTTTTCTAAACTATCTGTACAGGAAATTCTTCAAAATGTTAATGA